TTACCTTGACCTCCTAATGGAAACTAATCCCACTCAAATAATTCATGAAAAACCGCAGCACATTCCTGCACACACACACACACACACACTTCAGCAGCGCGACACACACCACTGAACACGCTGTAGAACAGCAGATCATCAGTAACACTCGCTCATCTCCAGACACTGTTACCAGAGAAAAACTCTGCCACAATGGAGAGCCACGATCTCAGAGGAGAGCAGCCCCACAACCCCTGACCACAGCAGAGTCAGCTCAACCGCCCAGCTCATAAGTGTTGTGTGAACCAAACCTGTCAACACTGAGATGTGAAGATAAGGCACATGCCCACTACAATACAGCATATCCCCCAAATAAATCCCCAAATTACTGAATCTGTTCTTCTGGAGCCGTTTCATTTTAAATAAGCAGTTAAACGGTCAGAACAGGATCCACATCTGTAGATATTATTATTATTATTAATTATGTGTATGTGTCTGTTCATTCATGCACACAAAACCCAGACTTTCACTCCACTTCAAATCAGAATACAGAATCCGTTAGGGAGACAGCGTCTGTTTATCACTGTAGAGAGCGTCAGCTGACAGTCACGCACCGCTATATGAGGACGCAATATGAAGAGGACACCACACCTGTAATGAACAGGAAAGGGAATCTCACCGATGTTACATTTATTTTAAAGTGTTTTCATGCCTAAATTAAACGAAAGCACAGAACAGACTCATATTTAAGAGGGAGGGGCGGCCCCTGGTGGTTCGACAGCATGCGTTGCGTAGAGGAAGGATCGGCTCTTTCTGTGCAGTAGGTGGCGCTGTAGTCTCCGCTCATGGTGCTCATTACACAAACACACACACACACAAACACACACTATGCTCCGACCCTGTGCCCTAATCCCTTCAAAGGGTTTACCCTGCGGAAAGACAACTTTGAAAACAGATTAAGGGTGTAGGGGTCAAAAATGCTGTTTTTTGGAACACACCTCAACAAAACAATCAAGGCTGTGTGTGTGTGTGTGTGTGTGTGTGTATCGTTCTTTCTGTTTGCATGCTGACATTCACAAAACACACTGGGAATGTGGAGGACACTGCAGGCGGTGCCTTATTTACTCAAGCACACATCTGCTGAGTGTGTGTGTGTGTGTGTGTGTGTGTGTTTATAGTTATAATACTTGACTGAACGATTACAGCAACGTACAGAAGAACACTGAACATTACAGACTCCACTACTCCAGACGGCTGTGTAAAACATGTATGTAAAAGAGGACCTTCTGCTGGTGTTAGCGCTGAACTCAAGACTCTGTCAGAGTAATCTGCATTTCTCATTCTGTGAACACTGATGGAGCTGTGAACACTACTCATCAGGAGCAAAACAACACACACACACACACTCAAACTGCACTGCTGTTATTGTACTCGTGGGGACATTTGATCCTCATAACATCATGAATACAAGGAACACACACACTTTCTCCCACGCACACACACAGCTGATCCTCTGCACAGACGCGTCGACCTACAAACACCGATCTGCGGCATCTGTCTGAGACAGCCAATCAGCAGCGAGCCTCGGTGTCATGTGCACTGCATTCAGACACATGGTGTGTGTGTGTGTTTGTGTGTGTGTTTGTGTGTTTGTGTGTGTGTAACTGCTCTCATTAACTGTGAGTGCCCTCAGTGTGTGTCTGTCATTCAGGATCAACAGGATTCGCCTGTTCTGAAGGCACTCAATCGGGTTAACAGCTGCGTGCAGGACACACACACACACACACACACACAGACAGACACACACACACAAGTCCTCTAAAAACACAGCACCTGTCTGAACGTCCCGCAGGTCAGCCAGAGGTTTGACACTGAGTTTACTTCACACAGTCATGATTATTAAATACAAAACTCCTCTATAAATACTCAAATAGTGTTCAAATTAATGCTTAATTTCATACAGCTGCTCTAGAACATCTCAAACACACACACACACACACACACACACACACACACACACACTCACTCACACACACACACACACACACACACACACACACACTCACACCCACACACACACACACAGACAGACACACACACACACACACACACACACATTATGGTAATGTTTCTTTGTTCTTTTGTTTATGTTTTTATTTCAAGTACAAAATTTGAAATATTCTTAAATAGACACACCTACTGGAAAAGCAAAATGATTATAAATATGTAATTATAGTTTAAGATTAATCTATTTATTATGTTCAAAGTAATTCTATTTAATGAACACACAGATATCTTATTCATTTATATATCTATATATAATCTGGCTGATATATTGGAGCAGATGCATCTGTCGTTGATTCTCATGTGATGGTGTTTTCTGTTCTCTGGTATATTTTGGTGATATCTAAAAACTCACTGTATGGATCAAAATGCTAAATAATTCTTTAATGCTAAAATTGATTAGAATATTGAGTTTAGACGATGCTCCATGAAGATATTCAGTAAAGTGTATGCCTGAAAACTGCTTTTGCATGACTCAAATTGTCACACAGAACACAAAAGTGTGTGTACAGTGCAGATCCTGCTGTGGGTCAGCTTCGTCTTTGGGCTGATGAATCGGTCATGTTGCTCCTCCAGTGAGTGTGTTCAGGTGTGTGTGTGTGTGTGTGTGTGTCTGCGTAGCAGGAGATTCAGCTTTAACAGCATCTTCAGGAGCAGATCTCCACCTCTCTGCCTCCACCCTTCTAAAGTATGGAGCAATGATCATGTTTTGAGCAGATGAAATGAGCTGCTGAGTGTGTCTCATCTGTGCTGAGGTTCTTGTGCAGCATCGACTCAACATAAGCCCAGAGTTACAGTATGATCAAGTAAGCCAATCAGAATAGAGCAAGCCTCTGATTGGCTGTATTTCTGTCATATAGTATAGCTGAGTTAATGTTGAGTGTGCTGACGCTGCATACACACAACACACAACACACAACACTGAGCTGACTCACGTCCGGCAGGTCAGCTTGTGTGCTCAGATCATGATCTTCTGCCTGCAGGATCTGAACTCCATTCAGAAGCTGCTCTCCGCCTCCACGCCTCCACCCTTCAGCCCGTTGGCGGTCTCGCAGTCCAGCACGTTCTTCATCTCGCGCTCCAGAGTCTGCTCCTGCACGCCGTTGATCTTCCCGAAGCTCCGGCTGATCTCCACAAAGGTCTTGTTCTTGGTTTCCGGCAGGACGATGAGCAGGTAAACCGCACCGGCGGCACAGACCACCACAAACAGCAGGAACGCGAACGTCTGCAGCGCCTCCTGCAGGAGCACACACACACACACACACACGCGCGCGCACACACACACACACACACACTTAAAATCACAGATAAATGAATACAGTACATAGAGAGCTCATGCTGTATATAATAGAGCTGTATATAATAGAGCTGTGTGTTCATTAAAGATGCGCTTATCAGGATTTTGGCAGCCGATTCTGAATGCACCAATCGCTTGTCATGGTGATCTGCCAATACTGCAGCTCATTTATAAACTTATGCAGAGAGGATCATGTGCTTATGATTGATCACAGCCGGTCCTGCATTATTCAATGTATGATTCACCAATCAGACGATTCCTAATCCGCTATAAACACCCTTAGCTCATATCACAGCCATCTTCATCCTGAAGAATCCGCCCCCCCCCCCCCTACTCCTCCTGCTTTTCCAGATGGGTGGCACGGTGGCCCAGTGGTTAGCACTGTTGCCTCACAGCAAGAACATCACTGGTTTTAGTCCTTACCAAGCCAGCTGATGTTTCTGTGTGGAGTTTACACGTTCTCCCTGTGCTCACGTGGGTTTCCCCTGGGTTCCCCGGTTTCCTCCCACCATCCAAAAACATGCAGCTTAAGTTAATTGAGTAATCAGCACATAGACATGCTGCTGGTCAGTTGTCATCTGTTAAGAGCGATCACTGTCTGTTCATCAGCGACTACAGCAGGGGAGTTCTCCACATCTACCTGAGCTCAAACTCCCCTCTCGCCCTGCAAACAGAAGGGAGCCTCTGGCTCGAGGATCTTCTGAGCTCAGGGCTCTCTCCCAGGACAGCATGCCAAACACTCTTTATCATCAATCATCAGCTGAGGGTGAGCTCTTGAAATTAAGGATGTGTACATGTAGTTGTCAGAAGCAGCTTTACGAAAAGAAAACAGATTAATCAGATAAAAGTAGTGGGAACACTGACTGAAGATGTGTAAGCATTGCTCATGTGCTGCATAACCCGGCGCATCTCCCTCAGCTTGTAAACAAACATGATCGGTTCATGAGATCGGCCAGATCAACGAGTCCTGATCGAGTGGTGAAATGTGATTATCAGCTGATACTGATCTTCAGCCAGGTGATCAGAGCATCTCTAATAAACATGAATATTAATTAACATAATCGCCTCCTCCTGTAGCTGCGCTCAGACAGTCTGCCCTCGCAGGTCCGCTTGTGTTCTCATAGCTGATTTATGAATCATGTCAGTCATCTTCTGCCGTCTTGTTGTTGTGTGTGTGTACAGTATATGCGTTTACACATGTCAATCAATATATTGGACACACAGAACTCTCTCTCTGCTATATTTGCACAGGTATACAGGTAGACAGTAGGATTGGCTAGCACTACTGTAATAAGTGTGACAGCAACGCATCAATATAGAGATGATGATGATGACACAGTGATTCGCCAGTGATTCTGATCCGTGTGTGTGTGATGATGATGATGATGATGCGTCTGTCTCGCAGCAT